TGCTGACTTTGTCAAACTGTGACACGTCACACCAAAATGAAATTAATATTGTAGCACAGCTCACTCTATATTAACATGTTTTTGAGCCTTATTTTGGTTCAAGTCCACAGTTGGTTATCAGAGGACAGACCGATCTTGCACTCCAGTTTAAAGGTTGTCTTCAGTTTCCAGCTTTTAGAAATGCTCAGTGGATGACAAGTATTGACCGAAGTGCTCCGTGGCACAGAAATAACATATGTGAATTATTAAAATGGGTGACATTTACCTTTTTAAAGAAGCAGACAGCACAAAAAGTGCTTTTGAGTTTCCACAAATGTATCTACACGATTGCTTGTATTGTTTATTTACCTATAGATAAATAAACAATACAAGCAATCATGTAGATACAAGCTAAATAATTCAGTAATTGATTGTATAGATTCTATACATTCAATTACTGAATTATTTAGCTTGTTTGACATATAAGAAGGTGGACATTACATCTCATACAACTACAGAAAGTTCAACTGCTAGTTGCATATATTAATTTGTGCACCAGTGACTTTACCTGCAACTGGTGCATCACAGTTTCGTAGTATGAGTAAGGACCAAGAAAATAAGAGTTGGTTTCAAGTTGAAAGGATAACATAAACTTTGAAATTTAACTAAACTCAGACACTGATTATGGAACATTGTCTGTTCAGTGTAAATCTGTTTAAATTACTTTTAAAGAAAATGGAAATAGTTAATTTTCAATATTTTAATCTCCATACGTGTTTTCTGCAGACATGGAAAGACATTTACATGCAAGTATAAAACAACCACCGTTGTCGTCTACGTTCATGTCTCTTTGTCTCTGCAACAGAAATGTGTGTTTCATGTCAACGTCCACAACCAAACGACTCACCAGAGTGTCTTCTTCTAATTTACTGCTGCCGCCTAGTGGCGATGCACGAACATTGCGCCTGTTCGGTCAGTGCAGATACGACTAAAAACAAGAATGAATAGATTCAGGGAGGAAAGTACTTTAACTTTTTTGTTTACCATTTAATAATAATTAAATAATTTCACACAGTGTGAATATAAGTAAAATCACTGAGTGTGATCATCATAAAAATACCTATATACATTCATCTTTTTAAAATCGTAGGATGATATGACAACATATCGTGTATTCTGTGTGTTTTACAGACAGCCACAACTTTACTCAATCGATCACTGATTTACAATCGGGGCTCGACTATTTTCCCTGACGTCGCATCCAGGAAAATAAATCAAGTTCGGATCACAGTTACAGGCGGAGGAGACACTTAAAGCAGATATGGTAAGTGTAAATGATATTTGAATTAAGTTAAGCAATTTCACATTATATATATAAAACACTGATACAGTAAATTAATCGCACAGCGTGTTCGTGTTGTATAATTTATCACAAAACCTAGAAAACAAATCTAATGTACTCACACCAAGCTAACGTTAGCTAGCTAACTTTTGACTGCACTGTGAGTAAGCAAAACACCGTCAACTGCTAACGTTAGCCGCGTTCATGCCGGCGAAATGACGTGTGACCCAAATAATCGGTTTGTGGCTAACATGTATTGTATTATATCACATTAAAGAACGTCTGTTAATAACCCGATGCATTTACATTTAGCGCCCCAATACTGTAACCTGCGTTGCTGATTAGTTAGCAGGCTAAAGCTAAGTAGCTAGCAGATGCTAGCCAGCTCAGGCTGCGTTTAGCTAGCATCAAGTCTTTTACTTTCGTTTTACTTCCGGTGACCTGGTTTTGGCTTTAGACTAATAACTAATTTAGTGAATTACAATACATGAAACTCCTGTTACTGTTCACTGTAGTAATACAACAAAATTGAATAATAATACAACAAACTTTCGCACAGTTTGCATGTCATCCAGCTAATGTCAGCTAGCTTTCTGCAGGACTACGATTAGCTAAAAGATTTTAATGCTGACATATGTCGCTAACCTTATGTATTAATCATCGTTAACGTCCCGCCTCTATTTGGTAAGTGGTTGCACACAAAGTTGGGCTTATCAATTATTCAGTCGTGGTAGAAATGTAATACCCGAGTCTAGAAAAGTCCAGAATGAAGACGGACACAGAGCCTTGTGTAGTAGTCACAGTAGTAGGAAAACCGCTGATGATGCAAGACAACTATGTAAGCTCAGCTCTTGTGCGTTTCTGTAATGCTGTTTTTTAAAGTGTCACTTTCAAATTATGGCTTGTTTTTGTATCCTTAGTTCCGTAATCAGTACGACAACGACGTGACGGTATGGAGCCCGCAGGTGAGTCGCTGCTTTTCCTCTGACTTCTCTGAGAAAGGTAAATGTGTATGTATCACTGTAACATGATTGTTGTTCATGTCGGTCCAGGGTCGTATTCATCAGATCGAGTATGCCATGGAGGCAGTGAAGCAAGGCTCTGCAACTGTGGGACTCAAATCCAAATCCCATGCAGTCCTGGTGGCTCTAAAGGTTCAGTTTAATGTCTCGTCTGTCGGTGATTATCCCTCGAGAAGTGGATGACTTTATTACATTTAAATAATGTTTTGAGCCTAAATTCATTCCAACGTCAAGTGTTTCCCGTTTTTATTTGGAGACACAGCAAACCATAGAAGAAATGTAGGATATCTGTCATTTAATGGAACATTTAAATGTATTATAAGTATACAAAGACACTGCAAAGCATGTAGCAGATTATTATATTAGACAGTCGAAGGACAGCGTTTGGTTCATGCCTGATGTTTTCACGTCTCTGCAGAGAGCCCAGTCTGAACTGGCTGCCCACCAGAAGAAGATCCTCTATGTCGACAACCACATCGGCATCTCCATTGCTGGACTCACTGCTGACGCCAGACTGCTGTGGTAAGTGCCGGCTTTCTTGAGGATCTGAATAGAGTTTGCTGTTTTTAATATCTAAATCGTACTAACGTCCTGTCTTCCACAGTAACTTCATGCGGCAGGAGTGCTTGGACTCTAGATTTGTCTTCGACAGGCCCCTCCCCACGTCACGTCTCGTCTCTCTTATTGGCAGCAGTATCCTCACTAATGTTAGCTTGACTCTCAGTGGTTATAACGGCCAGTTCTCCTTGTGTGAATACTCCTATAAAGTAAAATGATTGTGAATGGCAGCTGTGATCCTTAACCGATCCTTCAGAAACCCAAATCCCAACACAGAGGTATGGAAGGAGGCCCTATGGTGTTGGACTCCTCATTGCTGGCTTTGATGTAAGTTTGCATTTAGTTTATTTACCTACAGTGTTTTTCTCTTGTGAAAACGTTTGACCGTAGCTCCTGTTTGTTTTGTCGTGTGTCACCCAGGACATGGGACCTCACATCTTCCAGACCTGCCCGTCAGCCAACTACTTTGACTGCAAAGCCATGTCCATCGGAGCACGCTCTCAGTCTGCTCGCACCTACCTGGAGAGATCCATGGACAAGTTCTCAGACTGTAAGACCAAGCTCACTCGCCTTCCTCCCTCTGATTATTAAATGCATGATGACAGTTTTAGATAAACTCTTGACATATTTACTCATCACTGTTGTCTCAGATTTTCTTTTAGCATCTTCTTAGTTGAAACATGTACGTCCACAGTACTTCACTGTGTCTTCCTCTTGCTGTATCAAGTGGAAGTACTTGAATTAAGTGTTTTGTTCTCAGCTAATCTGAACGACCTGGTCCAGCACGGCCTCCGCGCTCTCAGAGAAACCCTCCCCGCCGAGCAGGACCTCACCACCAAGGTACCCAACTCTCTCCCCTCCGGTCTGTCGCTCTGCTACACCAGAGATTAATGGTCTGTCTCTTAAACCAGACGTACACTGGTCTGCCTGTGTTCAGAGCTGTTTGGGAAAAGTGTCAAGACCGTTAAGCTTAGTTTGTGGGATAAATATGAATTCTGAAGCTCACATAATAGGTGAAATATGGCTTTTAATTTTTGTACTTTTAATGTCAATAACTTAATTTCAACTGATCAAAGCAAACTTAAATGTTATCAAAGCTCAACCCTAGTCGGCATTGATGATCTTTTAAATGTGATGGCATTCAGGCACACTCTCAGGTATGCTTGTCGTTCTTTCAGAATGTTTCCATCGGCATTGTGGGTAAGGACATGGAGTTCGTCATTTATGACGATGATGATGTTGCTCCGTTCCTGGAGGGACTGGAAGAGAGGCCACAGAGAAAGGTACTGCAAGAGCATTTATTAAGTCCGGTTAGGACTCGTTCTTTTCTTCTCCACACGATTAGTGCAAAGCTAGAGATCTGTGTCTTCTGAACGCTGGTGTTTATATTCTCTTTAGATCAGGTTAGACAGTCAGCAGTGCAAGATGTAAATCCTGCTCTTTAGTCATCGCTTGGTGACTTACTGTCAAAAAATATCCTCACATTCTGAGGTCGAGGCAGATATTTCCAATGTTTTTTTGTTAAGAACTTGAAAGTGAAATTTTAGAGATGCATCCCTTTAACGTCTCAGATTCCGTTTTTTTAAAATCTTTTTATTTAATATTAATTTCCTGATGTTTGTGCGTTAAACCTCACTTTTGTTTGTGCGTCAGGTCGCCCCGCCTGCAGATGAACCCGCCGTCGCTGGAGAGGTTCTCCATGAGCCAATGGAGCACTGAGGCCGACCACTTCCTGTCATCTGGAGGAGGAGGGGGGGGGGCACACAAACCCAGACCGACCTGACACTTAACTGCAGCTCACCAGAGTCAATCTTAGAGGGGGAGAAGTTGTTGTTGTGATGTTCCACTCGTCAATCCAAAATATCCTGCTAACATCAACCAACGTGATGTGATGTTGCTTTTGTTTGAGCAAAATGTTCCATTATACAAGTAATAAACTTTTTTTGAATTGTGCTGCAGCTCCTCATTTAAAGAGTTGCTACTTAATACACGTTCAGTATCTGGATGAGCAACATTGCATGCAACAGTCAGAGCCGCTGAGTTTTACAATATTGATCTTGTTACAATTTAGAGTAAAAAATGAAAAACGACACCTTTAGTAAGATAAGAACCAGAACATTTTATTTAGTTTCTCCACAGTATTTTAATCACTGACCTGAATGCCCATGTGCTCTTCAAAATAAATAAATTCAGTTTATAAAAGTAAAAATCTAATTTAGCACAAACAGGTTCTTTAAAAAGCTTAAAACGTCAATACAGAAGACAAAAGATTTCTCCGTCACAAACACTTCACGGGAAGACGGACATCTTTTTGTGTCACCCGTTCTTTAAAGTACAGTGCATTAATTGTGTCATCTAAAAATGTTCATAACGATGGCAGGAAGTTGAACACGTCGAGAGTTGGAGGACGTGTCGAGCGTCGTATCGCTGGAGCTCCAGACAACGTGAGGGTGTCTCCTACTTTATGGGTGAGAATTACAATTCTGCAGTTATTGAAAACACAGTATCGAAAGACCGTAAACAAATATTTTCTATTTGAAAACCTTCTGTTGTGTATCGGCCGCCATCCCAAAGAGCATGCGAGCGGACGCCGATGTGCCTCGATGTCTAGCTCCAGTTACACTGATGCTTTAAAGCTCCGTGTCCCTAGAATCTCAATAAACCACCTCACTAACCTACAGTGGTGCCAGTAACACCACAACATGTCATCAGTGTTTCCTTTCTTTGCCAATTACCTTTTTTTTTTTTCTGTTTTCAAAATGTATTAATTCATTTATGAATATTAAAACCACCTGTAATCCAAGTGCTTCATGTAAATAAAACATTTTAAAGGAAAAGAGGTTAATTGTGCAAAAAGACAATTGAAATATGATAAATAATAAATAGTACAACACTGGGTTGTGTTCATATTCTGAGCACATTTTTTACATCTAATCTTCTCCTGGAAGCATCTTAATATTTAAATAAAAACACTTCATAAATGTATGCATTAGATAGTTTTATAAGTGTTATGAGGCCCTGGTTTTTTCTTAAGAAATATTTCAGTGTGGTACTGTTTTAAGACATTAAACTATACTCTTTCCTTTAGTATCCAGTGGACAGCTGATCCTATAAAACTCACTCTTTCACTTTAAGTAAAGCTAAACGAGGCGCACTAACAGGACCCCTCTGATGAGAACAGATTCAGAGTCAGTGCGAGGCTTTCTTCGCTCTCCTCCTCTTGTTGTTCCTCCGTCTGACGGCGCTGCAGGAAGCTTCTGTCTCCGTCGTCCCAGTGAGCTCCTCCACCTGCTCCTGCTCCATCACGGACGTCACCGTCAGCGTGACCTCCGGCTCGATTTTTCCCGCTCCTTCTCTGCGTTCACTCGCGTCCGCCTCGACGTTGGCGCCTAAATCTCTCTCTGGACCCGCGTCCTCCTCACTCACCGCTGTGAAATCTGGTTCTCTCCCTTTATTCAGGTCCTCGGCTCCCTCAGCAGCATCTCCTCCACCCGCGACCTCCCCGGGAGCGTCTTCCAGGTCGGCTCCGTCGGCTTGTGTCCTCTCCGTCTCCGTCTGTGGACTGTGGGGCTGCTGGCTGTGCTGACAGCAGCAGCGGGAATGTTCCCGCTGCTGCTCAGGCTCCTCTGGGTAATCTGCAGGAACTAGAGAGAAATTGAACGAGCCATTAATTGACCGACTTCTAAACTTTATTTAGAAATAGTTATAACGGTGCTTTGGCAGACAAAGAGAGGTAATGAAACCATTTAAACCACTTATCTACCTGATCGAATATTTAGAAACATTTACAATCGCTTAAAGTTCTGTCTCATACTCTGATAAGATGAGGGGAAACACTGGCTGGTTAGCAGGCGGTACATGAGTGTAAAAATGTACATGAGTTTCATGTTATTAATATGTCTAAATAAAATAACCGCTGTGAGCGTGCGGAGTGCGTGTATACCTTCCCAGTCCTCCTGGGTCTTCTTCTGTGGTGCCAGGTCTTCCATCAGCTGGCCCTCCTGCATCACCCGAGTGATCTCCGTCAGCTGCTGCAGGAGACTCTCCTCCTGATCCGCCGTCACGCCCTTCACCCTGCAACACAGAACCAAACTGTCCTGAACATCTGAACTTAAGTAACAGATGGTGTGACTGTGTCCTGTTTGTCTTTATCTTTGCTGTGGAAGAGATTGTTGAACGTGCGTAATGAATGAGCAAATACACCAATGAGCTCCATCCAACCAGTACTTCCTGTCAGGAGAAGAGAGGGAGGAGGCGCCCGGATGAAATGACTCCTCGGTTAACGTCACCCACCTGTCAGGACTGTGGTTGACGTTGGACACGATGTTCTCCATCACCAGCTCGGTCTCTCTCAGCTTCTCCTGCAGCTGAGCCAACTCAAAGTCAGCTGAAAAAATTAACCATGGAAAGAAGTTTAAAACACAATCTGCAACTCGTCTCACTGTTAAGATGCTTCACTGGAATCAACGTGCCAGAAAATACCCAGCATTCATGTGTTTCTCACTACGTTAAAGAAGAGCCGGAGAGATTTCTGAGACTAAAGTAAATCTCTCATCATTTTAACGCTACGAGGAACTTTGATTCTGTGTTGATTCTGGCGCCCCCCTGTGGACAACAGCGGTAGTGTTTCCGAGCACCAGGGTCCCTTTAGAAAACACTTCAGCTCTTCTGGCATTCGTGACAACACTTTTAAACAAATTTTTCTGTCCTTTTCTTCACTTGTTTTGCGCTCTATTCTAATTTAATATCAACTTTCTTTTTCCCCTTCAGACTCAGCTGTTTTCTTTCATCGGATGATAATAATTAAAATGTTTTAAACTGTTTTTAATGAGCCCTGAATGATACTCACTGATCTTTCTCTTCTTGTTCTCCGAGCGAACCGAAGAAAACCTGCTCTCTGTGGGCTTGTTGGTCCCTTTAGATGTGATCTAACAGAGACAGAGACGGTGACAGAGACAGAGACGGTGACAGAGAC